AAGACATAGTGTCGTAAAATGGAAAATATTATAGATCAATGTGTACGTAGGAGTGAGGTATGATCCCAGACCCATGACTTCCTTTTTAGCCTTTTTAACCCACAAGAATTATGGTCCCAAGTATCAGTGTAACATTCTTAAGCACTCTTCCTTTTAAAACACTATCATAATCTTATGAACCCATCTAAATCTTTTGACAGTGTTGGCTACTTTCTACTGCAGGGTATGTTTAAAAAAATATGATGGATGATGATAAAGTTGGCCAGCGCTCCAACCCCACCACAATCCTAGTGATAATCTGCTTGTAGTACATGTATTGAAATCTCTAAGATACCCTAAACACGGCTACAACTTTTGCTTCAAACCAACAGGCCTCCGATTTGCCCATAGACCTCTATAATATCTATCTATCTATACTCTGGGGGATCGATCGTTGGGCAAACAATCTCGTGTTGTTGACGGTAGGCGGTGACAAGTGGCAGCAGTGATAAACCAGACATTGCTCAGTATTCGCTTCGTAAGGAAGGTTATTGGAGAGGAGATAAAGAGAGGATCTTCTGAGGGGAGGAATGTGGGTCTGTGGCGTGACTTTATAGCCTTACATTACCAGACATACATAATACGTGTTATGGGTAATGTGCTGCAAGTATCTATCTATCTATCTATCTATCTATCTATCTATCTATCTATCTATCTATCTATCTATCTATCCATGAGTGTTTCTCTTTCTTTCTCCCCCTCTCTCTCTCTCTCTCTCTCTCTCTCTCTCTCTCTCTCTCTATCTGTGTGTGTGTGTGTGTGTGTGTGTGTGTGTGTGTGTGTGTGTGTGTGTGTGTGTGTGTGTGTGTGTGTGTGTGTGTGTGTGTGTGTGTGTGTGTGTGTCCCCTTCTGTCTCTCGAATATCTAGGACATGTTGGTCAAACCCATTATATTTGACTGATAAAGGTCTATGACGATATCATGGAAATGTGTGGTATAAAGAAAACGAAACCAAAGGCATTTGTACAGAACAAGTAGCTTTTTTAAAATATAAAATTCAACGCCAGCTAGACACACGAGAGTTGTCGGTGTAATGGAAAGTAAGCGAGACGACAAGAACATCAAATTAATTATGATTTACTATGGAATGAACGTGTGCCTACAATGATTTACGTAAAGTGAACACATTCCTAACACAATGACTGTCATAAAAAGAACACGTTCTTGACACACTGAATACCTGAAAGAGAACACAATTTTAATACACCTACTTGCATGAAAGAGAACACAATCCTACCACATCGACTTGCATAAAAGTGAATGAATGCCTAATGCAATGACTTTCATGAAACCTAACATTTACCTAACACAGTAACAAACATGTTAATAATAACCATAGTAACCATAATGATAATAATAACAATAATAATAACAACAACAATAATAATAATAATAATAATAATAATAATAATAATAATAATAATAATAATAATAATAATAATAATTATAATAATAATAATAATAATAATAATAATATTCGTGACTTGAATCCATGCTTAACACGACGATCCGCATTGATGTAAACTTGATACTAACAGACTAGCTTTCATTGACATAAAATATTGACTCCCACAGTGACTTACATTGACATAAACATTATATGACCAACAGAATAACTTACATTGACAGCGAGAGAGAGAGAGGGGGGGAGAGAGAGAGAGAGAGAGAGAGAGAGAGAGAGAGAGAGAGAGAGAGAGAGAGAGAGAGGGAGGGAGGGAGGGAGGGAGAGAGAGAGAGAGAGAGAGAGAGAAAGAGAGAGAGAGAGAGAGACCTTTGCGCCAGTTGACCGCCCGGCTTACATGACTTTGAAATTTGGACATGCGCAAGTGCTTGTCGAAAAGTTTGGTATCAGGGTTATAGGCCATCAGAGAGAGTCCGCGCCTCACGCTGTCGATCAGGTTCTTGGTGGCATCCTCCAGGGACACGGGAGTGTAGAGGGCTCTGCTCCACGTCGCCAGCATACGGGGGCTGGTTCATGATGTCAAACTCGAACAGCACCTGGCTCTGCGTGATGTCCAGTCTGAGGTCCCACTACGCGCCACCACAGGACTTGGGGCTTGGGCGGCGATGTGGAACATGAGTTTTGCTGAGAAAATTCTTCTCTGTATCTGTTCACGAATGTCACGGGTGCTCCCTCCAGGACGGTCTGGAAAGTGGTTCTTGGGCACTGTCCGGAAAAATTTGGACGCTCCTCAAAAGACTCCAAG